AGAACATGGTACAAATTATGAATTGTTATAAAAAAAGAAAGAATCGATATGACAAATAAACTTTTGATATATATCTTTAATAAATTCCTTTTAGGACATCAGTTTGGAGTTAACATCAAAGTTGTTAAAAATACTAGCAGCATCGTGGATGAAACTGCGTTGGAATAAAGATGAATTATGATGATGATGATGGTTCTATTACTACCTCTAAGGATTAACTTTTCTCTTAGATATAGAGGTTCTATCTACGCATTCTCAAAATAGGTTATTTTCAACCAGCACAAGGAACTGAACTTATTTGAGACATGATCAAAACGTCTTACCAAAGATAAGTGAATAACCTGCAGTCTGCTGTTATCTTGCAGAGTTATTTCCTCAATTAGGATAAACCTATTAGCATATAAAGCACTGAGTCGCAGGTGTGATCTTTTGGAGGTTTGGATAGTAACTTCCAATATTCTTGTACGCTGGGAGACATTCATTTCTTCTGTATAAATCTTTACCGATAACGATGATACGACAGCCTTCCCCGCCTAGGCTCAGAGAAAGAAAGCATTGCATTGGAGTTTGATTCATGTATGGCAAGATGGTGCGATTTTGAAAATTGACACAGCCTTTTAATATCAGTGATTAAATTAGCTGGAGCATCGTTGATATTATCTATACCAAACCTCTGAAGGAGCTGCGTATCATCATCAAAGGATTGTCTCTCCAGGTTGTTGATACTTTTTGGCAAGTCAGCAATATATAAAAGGAAAGGTAGCGGCCCAGGGACCGATCCTTGGGGTGCACCATGTACTGTTGTTGTCTAGATTATCCGTTGTCTTTTCTCCGCGCCGTTCGAAAAGGAATCGGGGGAGATTTGGCTCGGCGAAAGAGGATCCCTTTTCAGCGCTGGTGGAATAATTAAAAAAATAAAAAGGCGGAAGTGTACCGGAGAAATTACAAAGATATTTTCCCTCTGTCACGTTCACGCTCGGTTAGAGCAAGGAAAATATTATGAAAAACCGGAATACTGAGGGGGTGGGTTCAATTTAATGAGCAGATGGAACTCGGTTGAGTCGGTTATTGCATGTCACAAAATATAATATAAATAATTTTAAGGCACAACTTGACGATTTTCGTAATAAGAATCTTACAATTTGAATTTGAACTCGTGAGCTCGACTATTCTTATAATGCTCTTTGTGGGTCGGTGAAACCGGATCCGGGACACATTCAATCCGGGAATGCCCTATTTGCAATAATTCTACTTGGTCAAAAAACGACTAATAAAAAATCTCAAGAATCTGTCGTACGTCTATGGTCTAGATCTAGATGGAAGCTTATTCCGAATATTCAGAGTCCGTAGTGCTAGTTTTTCACCGAGTTCTCACCCCTAATTCGGCACCATGACCCATTAAGGTCTTTAATGTGGTATTCAAATTACTTGCATCTATGAAGCATCGTTGGCAATGGGCTTTGCTGCTCAAAGCTGCTCTCGAACTGGTCGATACGACCGCTCCTTGGTTCCTAAGGTGGCGAGATTGTGGCGATGCTTCTATCAGCAACACAAAGAAAAAACATCGGTTTTGTTATGCGATGTGTGTTCTAACAAAAAGTACGTAAAGCGACGCATCTATCTAAGTAGCTTTATGCGTAATAAAAAGGAAAGCCCATTTAAAGTGGACTGGACCATTAGGGAAGAACTTCCGTGTTCCCCTACGAAAAGGATATCCCCAAAGGACATGAAAGCCGATCATACACCTGATGTCACAGTACTCTACCCAGTGGCGTTCTATAGCAGCGGTAGCAACATTTTTAAAAATAATATATATCTTTATTGCATCATTGATGTCACAGCATAATATCAAAAAGTTCCATACAACTTTTTATAATAGTAAAAACATTCTTCGTAAAAAATTACTTACCGCGACTGAATATATTATCCATTTTTAGATTCTATACCGGTAAAACGTTTGCAAAGAATACAAAATTCCTGTTGTAGATTGATTTCTAAACTATGAAAGTATGATCACATTAGCTACTTTGAACAACTAAATTGGTTAAATGTAGCGAAATTAATTAATACGCTTTGTGTAAAAACCTTTAACCACACCATTTCCTCCGTTTCCAAAAGACAAGCCAATATTTCCAGAGAAATATTCATTAACTATTCCTCTTCATTTTTCAGTAAGTGCTTTACTTATGAAGGGTACTACTATAAAAGTCTTGCAATATGACTTAACAAACAGACGCAGGAGGCTGCATGTTACTGCATGTTGGGACATGTCCATGAGTGCATAGTAGCCGCCGTCATCTGCATCTGTCTGTTGATTTAGTTGTTCATTCGTATAGACAGTGTAAAGTGCCGAGTATGGAATTGTGGTCACGTAGGGGAGCCTTACGGTATAACTTTACCGGTGGTTTAAGCATAGATCGGTGCTTAGAAGAAATGAGAAAAGAATGATTGGCCTCATCGTACGACTACAGTGGACCTCCGGTCGTCCGACAAACATTATGCAGATCAGTGTCGGACTATCGAATTTGTCGGATTATAGAGCACTGCCTAAGACCCCCTATAGTCCGGAATTTTTTTACAAAAGAGTACCTTGTAATCCGACAAATTGCATATCCATATAGATTATGTATGTCGAATTTAGTAAATTGAATAACAATAGAGAGCTTACGTTTTATTATAAAATTAAGCATAAATGCACATACATATGTACCAAAATCATCAAGAATTATTAATCAAAATCATTAATGAGTTTATCATATCATGAAGTTTGGAAATATTCATCAATTTTTTGTTTGTTTAAGGCTGTTATAACGCGCGATCAGAGCTTTGTCCCTCAGTCTTCTCAAAAGTAAAAGTTCGTTGTAGGATGTACCATTCTCTTCAGCCCATTGTAAACCTATCTCAAAGGCGTTAATTGCGTCTTGTACTGTGACTTGTGAAGCAGTTGCAATCACGTCGTCGTTATTTTGCTGATTGTTTGTTGTATAATTAGAAACCTCTTTTATAATCTCTTCGTCAGACATTTCATGAAAAACATTTTCCTCTTTATCCATTCCACAGCACCAGATTTCCAAATCTTCCGGACTTTCCGTGTTTCAGTCGAGAGTTGTTCTATATCTTCCGAAGTAACACTGAATTGTGGAACGTTGCTAGAAGTGGTGACTATATCTGGCTATAACTTTTCCCAAAACGATTTAATAGTTGACGACGGTAACGCATTCCACGACTGACAAAGAGCAAAAACCAAGTCTTTCATATTAAATTCTTCTTTAATTGTCAATGTTTTGTGCTTTCGCTTCTGAGTTTGTGATGACATTACTAGGTACTATACTTAATACACAATGAATAAATAGTAAACAATGAACGCACGCTAGGCCGTACCGCTATCACAAGTAGTCAAATTCAAACTATAGTAAGTAAAACAATGCTTACGCGTCGAGCACGATAGCGGTGGCGCGTACAAGTTGCAACCTGTTCAAAACTGCGTGATCTACATTAGCGAAGATTGTCAAATACGTATGTATTCAAAGACATGTCGGATTATAGGGCGTCCACTATATTCAGGTATTGCAGAGAATTTCATCAGCTAAGGAAACAATATTTGAACAAGGAATTCAAATACAATCATCACACTTCATTTCTCTAAATTATAAACATGAACTATACAAGTCCTAAGGCATGGATCTGAAACAATACATAACCTTACTTTCGATCTCGTCCTCAGCAGCGTAAACCTCCGACCTGCCAGAATATTCGACGCGTACGACAATGGCAAACGGCAATGCCAGAACTCCGAGAGATAAAAATCTCTTTTGTTCCTGCAAATGTACACGCTAAGGACGATCCTTTATTATACCGAGCATACAGCGAGTAGGATTTCTCCTTTTTCCTTCTTTTTCAGCTCCGCTCTTTGTACTCCCCCATCAGCTTAGCTTTGAAAACATTCGCCACGTTTTTTGAAACGTCCCTTCCTTTCCTTGTTTTCATTTGGCTGGATGCGACGACTCGAACAGCTGTTCAGGAATGGAGGCACTCCAAATGAATCGCCGACTTTGATACTATCTGCCTCCGCGCGTTTTGTCCCGTGACGCTGCTTATTTCAAAAAGGAGTTTCATCGGCAGTCAACGAATATTGCTACTTATATCGTTAATAAAGAGCAAAATAAGCGATGGCCCCAAACTCGAACCCTGTGGTACCCCTAAAGATGCTGTGAATATGCAAAAAGGACCTTAATAGAGATATCTAGTCGTCAGCGAAACCAAACAAATTCAGAAGTACATATATACGATAAATAATATATTTTTTTATTTCATCATAATCTATATAAAAAAAAGGTTTCTAATAATATGATATTTGCATTGAGTCCATAGTGAGCATATCCAATCGAAAACTACAAATCGAAATACAACCTAACGTGCAAATCTGATAATTTCTCACTCAATCACTAGATTTTGACACACAGCACCGGCGCTTGACGTTCAAATTTATTCAACGTAGGTGAAACGCCGCATCTCGGGCCAGGCATCAATCTTCTGAATTTTCTATTTTCAAGCCTTCAGGCGTTTGTTTCCGAGGTATCTACTCGAACGGGTCTTGCGCTGGCATGGCGCCACCTCACGAAAAGTAACCAAGATTCGATATGACAACTTTCATATTTAATAAAATGCATCTATACGCACTCTAGGTTCTTGGTAATACGACTCTTATAGTCCAGGAAGTATCCTCACAACTGATCGGAAAATATTCCGATCCGGTTTATGCGCAAGCTTATTAAGAAATGACTCTTTTTAATAACGAGTCAGGCCCAGACTTCAAAAATTGTTTAAATATTTTTTTCTATTCTATTCGCACATGTTGAAGTTCAGTTGTATTTTAAACTGTGCACTAAACAGTTCTGTATCATTGATACCACATTGACCGTACTATATACCTATTTTCTAACCGCCTACTTTCTACTAAGCGCCAGATGCATAACAAAATCATTATCTATTATCTGTAGGTCAGAATCATGGTTGCCATGCAACCGCTACTTTCCTGCTATCCACTAATGTCATTTCATTTGTTCGTTGTGGATGTATATCTGAAAGTGCATCTAGATACCCATGCCTGGTGTCAAATGAACAATGCCGATTGTTATTTGTTTCCAATCCGATTTGCCGTTGCCAATGCGTACTTGATCCGTTGGATCGGTAAGTAAAGTGCGAGGTTTGAAAACGTACTCGTAATTACAGATTTCTATATATGCTTATCTCGAGGATAGAATTATGCTTTGGATATTGGATTTGGGATAGTGTGGGGCGTAACAATATTTCATACTTCGTCTAAGGCTTAGAATGATACGGAAATTGGAAGACACGGGGCTAGAAGATCAGCAATGTAATGTTTTGATTGCGAAAAAAGCTATAACAAATGTACAACCCATTATTTGGACAAGGTTAGAAAGGCGTCAATTGCAGCAAACAACTGACATTCGATTCATAATCTATACAGCCGATTTACCTAAGAAACTAGTTTTGTTAGAATTTTTGAAGAAACAAAGTTGCGAGGTTCGAAAATGGAAATGGAAATATTTGACACTGGAAGTGTAAAGCGTGGTAAATTTTGCGTTTAGGTATAACCCGGTCCATGACCTTGACCATGACCTTCATGGACAAAACATTTTGGAAAATACGTTTCATGAACATTACATTCATTAGAGATCAATACGGTTTTCCTGACCCCGGAAATATGAAGACTCGAAAAAGGGGAGCTTAGTTGAAGATTAGATGATTTTTTAACGAAAAGATGAATGGATTTATAACGGCAGACTCCCAAAACCCTCAAGATCGTGGTCAGGTTTACGTTCAAGGTCACCTATAGATGACACTTTTTAAACCTTGCTCTGTAATATTTTTTTTAGGTAACATACTTTTCTAAATACCTTGTTCTCGACATTCCTTTTCGACACTCTTAAATGACCTTGAAGGCATGCTCAAGGTCATGGTCAAGGACTTGCACGAACTCAAAATTTCTCACTCTTTACATTTCCGGTGACATAAGGATTTCCAATAAAAATATCTTGATCTCTGTATGGCGATGAAAGTCGTAGTCAAGGTCACATACAAGGTCACTGTTAGATTACCCTGTTTCAACTTATCAACTTTTTCTCTAGGAAACACATTTTTTGAGATATTTTGTTCTCTTCATGCCTTTTAGACGCCCCAACATGACCTTGACAGTCATAGTCAAGGTCATGGACATGGAGTTACTCAAACGTAAAATTTCCCACTCTTCACATTTCCGGTATCTTCATTAAGAAAAAGCTGCCTTCACCTCCAAATCACCTTGAAGGTCATAGTCGAGGTCATGTCCAAAGTCACCTTCAAACCTTTCTAAGTCTTGCAACTTTGCCCTGCAACATTTTTCTATGGGTAGCCTATTTTTCGAGATACTTCATTGTCTGATACATTTTCGACACCCTAAAATGACCTTGAATGTAATAGTCGAGGTCACCGTCAAAATTGATCAATTTTTACATTTTCAGTGTCAAAAATACTGATTTCCATTGAAAAACTCTTAACCTTATAGTGACCTTGAAGGTTATAGTCAAGGTCACATTCAAGGTCACCCTTTTTAGCCTTGCATTGTTTTCTAGGTAACGTATTTTTCGAGCTATTTTCTTCTCTTCATACATTTTTAACGCACTAAAATGACCTTGAAGTTATCGGTCAAGGTCATTTAAAAGGACTAGCTCAAACAAAATTTCGCACTCTTTACATTTCCGGTATCAAAAATATGTGAATCCTTTAAACAACTGAGACGACCTCCAAATGATATAGTCAAGGTCACGTTCTAGGTGAACCCTACAACTTTGTTCAAAAACATGTCTCTCTAGGAAACGTATTGTTCGAGATTTTTGGACACCTTGTAGGTATACGTTCGCGCTGGCAAGTTCCAAATTATCGTTCCATCGAATTCTCATATATATCCGCTTACAAAATAGAGAACTCATCAAATTCTCTACCCTTCAGTCTCTTCGCTCATATATGAGGGAAACTGTTTTCGATTACGTAACCCTAATTCGAAAATTACGCAACAGCAAAAGCAGAACCCTATCTCCGTGACAACGGAAACGCATCTTTCGGGGGAAATTTCCAATTTTCCACCCGACTTCGGTCAAATGCATCACGTCGCGCGACTGCGCCATTTTCATTTTCCCGGTCACGTCACAGCCGAAAACAGAATATTGCATCATCGTTTTCCCTTTGTTCCCGAGTGCACAGTGCGGTCGTCGTAAATTTAATCAAATTCTTTGTTTTCCTGTTGATGATACAAAAAGCATAGAGGAATCGTCAATGAAACTTACAACTAGGCACAAAAGAACAGTAAAATGAAACAGAAGACAGTTAAAACTAAATTCGAACGTATCGTCTAAGGAACAGTGTCGGGGCCAAGCCCGATCCCTGGGGAACACCCGCGTTGACGAAGTGAGATAAAGAGGAGAACCAGAGTAAATAAATGCCACGTTTTTAAAAAACACTTTTAGATATTTTCCATACTTTTCTTTGAATCAATACCCCTTCTTCCGTGCAATCATACAATTGAATACTAAACCAATGAAAACGTCTCATTTAAAATGCATTCTTGACTTTTCCCAATCCCTGACGTGATAGGACTTCCAGGTACCAGTAAAAAGACAATGCATGCGCTGCATTTGCTATTTTCTGTCGTCGCTCACAGAATATTTTTAGCAGGCATGCAATAATTTGCAATAGAAATCTTAGACGATCTGGCGTGACATGAAACTGCCCACGTCATTCTCGATCTTTGACGTACGTGCCGCTAAATTACGATAAATTACGGCCAGATTTTATTGTTAGGATCGCAGTTGGCACTTATTTTCGCTAATTTGATCATAATTAGCGGTTTTAGTGATGTCTATTACATTGTATGCTAGTACAATGTTTGGTCGAGAGCGCAGTGACTTTGAATTAGAAAAACAACCCAACCAACAATTTATGTTTTATAAGCGTCCTAACAACGTTTACATATTTATTTTTATAAAATAACAATAAAGCCAAAAAGGGCGCAAATTTGTGTTTTAATTTATTTGATTATCGCTCCCACACTTTGAGTGTCCAGGTGAAGATTAAAATGCGGCATTCAGAGTTGTTCATATACAAATTGTTATTGATACTACATATTTATAAAAAAATATTTGTTGTTGGAGGTTCTCACAATCTTGCCAGCTAGAAACAGATGTGTAAAGTTCCAGGTCATCAGCAAACATAAACTTGTGGCATCACAATGAACTGCAAAGATCGTTGACGTATAAGGCAAGCAATAGGGACCAAATTGGAACCTTGACATGTATGTTTAAGAACTGAATCCACTATGGAACACATATTGTAGACTTGAGAAGATCCACTTAAGTTTTGTTGAATCCGATGTATCCAATTTGTTCAATTACCACTGCTACTACTACATGTGGCCCTTTTCTTAAACGAAACCTAATCCAATCTCAATCACTCGCTCGACATACTTTACCAGTTTCCTCAAATATCGCCCACAGCCGAAAAAGGGGAGAACCATCCGTCTTCCAATTTGGAGTTACACGTCCTGCCCTTTCGGCTGTCCCTATTTGCGCAGAATTCTCCTCGTTCGCGTATTCCCTTTTTTAACAAAGGCCGCGGGGCCAGTCACCCCGCCTGCCTCGGCCCTTATTGATTTTTCGAGGTCCTTTGTCCCGGTTTCACGCCGTGTCACATCGTGGACTCACTTTCGTCAAACATCCACACGTTCGAATGACGTGCTTGTCATAAAATGGTGTCTTTGTCAGAAAATATCCTGCCCCAAGGATGTTTGTAAAATTAGTTATTATTCTCCGTGTCACAGAATATTTAAAAAAATTTCCACAAAAATCACGTAAATGGCATGCCTATTGGACCCTACTTTTTTGGACCTTACTTGTTTCTTCGCTATACCTTACTGAAGCTTTATGCTGCAAAACGCATGAAGATTGAAGATGAAGATGAATATGAAGATGAAGACGAAGACGAAGACGACGTCGCCGACGAAGACGAAGACGACAACGACGACGAAGACGACGACGACGACGAAGACGAAGACAACGACGACAACGAAGACGATGACGAAGACGAAGACGACGTCGACGATGAAGACGACGACGACGACGACGACGACGACGACGACGAAGACGAAGACGACAACGACGACGAAGACGAAGACGACGACGACGACGAAGAAGACAACGACGACGACGAAGACGAAGACAACGATGACAACGAACACGAAGACGACGTCGACGATGACGTCGAAGACGACGAAGACGAAGATGACGTAGAAGACGACGTCGACGACGACGACTACGAAGACGAAGAGGGATAAGAAGAAAAAGAAGAAGAAAAAGAAGAAGCAGATCTACGAGTCTAGACGATTCCAGCCTCAGCCTTTCATAAAGCATGATTATTCTCCGTGTCACAGGATATTTAAAAAAATTTCCACAACAATCACGTAAATGGCATGCTTATTGGACCCTACTTTTTTGGACCTTACTTTTTTCTTCGCTATACCTTACTCAAGCTTTATGCTGCAAAACGCATGAAGATTAAAGATGAAGATGAGTATGAAGATGAAGACGAAGACGAAAAAGAAGACGAAGACGACGTCGACGACGAAGACGACAACGACGACGACGACGACGACGACGAAGACGAAGACGACGATGACGATGACGACGAAGACGAAGACAACGACGACGACGAAGACGAAGACGACGACGAACACGAAGACGACGACGAAGACGAAGACGACCTCAACGATGACGACGACGAAGACGAAGACAACGACGACGACGAAGACGACGTCGACGATGAAGACGACGAAGACGAAGAGGGATAAGAAGAAAAAGAAGAAGAAGCAGATCTCCGAGTCTAGACCATTCCAGCCTCAGCCTTTCATAAAGCATGAGAAGATAAGTCACAGTTTTTCCTCCACTGCATCGTGTAACTGATAAAAGATATTTCAAATGTACTACCAATCGTTCGTGGTGTACGAGTTCTTTGAATAATGATAAGCGTTTGTTTGAGGTAGTTAATTTTCGAACTACAACGATCACTAACAGCGATCATTCAGCGGTAATTGTGTTTACATTATATTGTTATCGTAAATTTCTAGTGTTGATTTTATTGCTTTATAACATCTCCTAGGTCATGGATTCGATATTAGACGTGTTGCTAGCATGTGCCAACGTTTCTGATGCAACTTTCAATACAGATTATTATTTCTAGGATATTTTTGGATTTTGTTTCTATGTACCTAGGCTTAGTTATCGTGTAGGAAATAGAAGTGTATTCGGCACAAGGTTCTTCAAATGAAATTCGGTTTGTTTAATATACACTAGTGTAGCGATTTGAATTAATTTTTTTTAGAAATACATGACGAAATTATAGCGACATTTGTGTAGTTCTATTTTCTCATGTAATATTAGTTTTTTTTTTTGATGTTTTACGATGTGAAGGGAATTATTTCCCACATCAGTTATTATATTAGGAGTATGGATTCAATATTAATAGCTTGGGATTTGATGGTTGAAGATATATACGTTGGAACCATCTTTAAGCGTACTTTCCAAAACATTTTTGGTTCAATTTTCAGCATTATTTTACAAAATGGTAATGAAATCAGGTTGTTTGGAATTTTGAGATCTATTTCACAGAAAGCAATGCAAATAAGATATTTAAACAAAAAGAAATACTAAAAAACAATACATTACTCAAGTTAACGAAAATCATTTATTGGCTTTCATCTAACTTGACCGTTTCACTTATGCTTTATGCCAAGTAACTATGTTATGTGCAGATTTGACATATATAGATAAATCATCCTGTATATCTGTAAAAATGAGCTTGGAGCTCTTTTATCTTCAGATATGAAAATTATTCGGCCCTATTGTGTCCATTCAAGCCCGAATCGCCCTGTACACTGTGTTCCAGGGTCAAACGCATGCTATGTAATAAAAAACTAATTAGAGAAAAGCAGGATTTGGCTGCGATTGAAACGATCTTGGTGTAGGAGGTGTTGGGTGAATCTTGAAAGCACACCTGTGGTTACCTTGTGGCCGGTTACAAATTCATATTAATATATTCCCGGCTGACGGAGCTGCCATGCCTTAGAGTGAGTGACCGCTGAGAATGGCGATTGACGTCTCTCAGTTTCTCAGTAGGCTGAGGTTTGATACAGGCATAATAGAGTCGCGTACTGCACGAGGTTCATTAAAGCGAAATCGGTTCACGGATCGGATTTACAAACTTTTAGGCAAGATTTTACTAAGCAAATTTAACCAACGAGAAGGCGGCTTTGAAGCAAAATTTCTTGTAAAATGTCCCTCAGACTAGAGAATAATATGGTGTTCATTTTTCATTTTCATTTTTGGTAAATATGTATATCTTACTTATCAAAGAACGACTAATAAAAAAATTCCAAAAATCGTTGAGCGTCTACGATCTAGATGGAAGCTTGTTTTCTATGTAAATCGGGAGCGTAGATTCCGAATCCGATGTCAACTCAGTGCGAGGATTCACTTTTGGTCCAAAGTGACGATGGTATTTTTTATCGCGAACATTCATAACTTTTTCGAAATGCGTTATATTATTTAGATTCCGTTGTCATCAAATCTTCATTCCTCAAAATGTAAATTTGCAGCATTTCAATCTAAGCTAAAAACGTGATTTCAGAATTTCCATAAAACTCTTAACTTTACCTTCCTCTAAATAAAGTCAATGTGACGTAGGTACCTTCGCAGTGATCATGATGCCGCCGAAATAACGTCATTATTTGGTCACTTTTGGTCAGAAAATGATGTCTCTATTAAGGCTTTTAAAATGCTTTCATTTTGACGTCTTTTGCTGGACAGTCAGAATTGATAAATCAACACTTGACTTAGATACCTTCGCAGTGAACATGATGTCGCCGAAATGACGTCATTATTCGGTGACTTTTGGTAAAAAAATGATGTCTTTATTGACGCCTATAAAATGCTGTCATTTTGACGTCGTTTTCAGGACAGTCAGAACTAAAAAATCAACACTTGACTCAGGTGCCTTCGCAGTGAACATGATGTCGCCGAAATAACATCATTATTTGGTCACTTTTGGTCAGAAAATGACGTCTTTATTAAGACTTTTAAAATGCTGTCAATTTGGCGTCGTTTTCAGAACAGTCAGAACTGAAAAAGCAACACTTGACTTAGGTACCTTTACAGTGAACATGATGTCGCCGAAATAACGTCATTATTTGGTCACTTTTGGTCAAAAAATGACTTCTTTATTAAGGTTTTTAAAATGCTGTCAATTTGGCGTCGTTTTCAGAACAGTCAGAACTGAAAAAGCAACACTTGACTTAGGTACCTTTACAGTGAACATGATGTCGCCGAAATAACGTCATTATTTGGTCACTTTTGGTCAAAAAATGACTTCTTTATTAAGGTTTTTAAAATGCTGTCAATTTGGCGTCGTTTTCAGAACAGTCAGAACTGAAAAATCAACACTTGACTTAGGTACCTTTGCAGTAAACATGATGTCGTAGAAATAACGTCATTATTTGGTCACTTTTGGTCGGAAAATGACGTCTTTATTAAGACTTTTAAAATGCTGTCAATTTGGCGTCGTTTTCAGAACAGTCAGAACTGAAAAAGCAACACTTGACTTAGGTACCTTTACAGTGAACATGATGTCGCCGAAATAACGTCATTATTTGGTCACTTTTGGTCAAAAAATGACTTCTTTATTAAGGTTTTTAAAATGCTGTCAATTTGGCGTCGTTTTCAGAACAGTCAGAACTGAAAAAGCAACACTTGACTTAGGTACCTTTACAGTGATCATGATGTCGCCGAAATAACGTCATTATTTGGTCACTTTTGGTCAAAAAATGACTTCTTTATTAAGGTTTTTAAAATGCTGTCAATTTGGCGTCGTTTTCAGAACAGTCAGAACTGAAAAATCAACACTTGACTTAGGTACCTTTGCAGTAAACATGATGTCGTAGAAATAACGTCATTATTTGGTCACTTTTGGTCGGAAAATGACGTCTTTATTAAGGTTTTTAAAATGCTATCATTTAGGCGTCGTTTTCAGAAAAGTCAAAACTGAAAAATCAGCACTTACGGCCGTATCGTCAGTCGTTTTTACAATTGTAACTAATTAAATAAAAAATAATGTTTTATTTTTAAATTGCAGGAAATTTCAGGCTGACAGAACAGGGGATAAAAGTCAAAAGCATGAACAATTTGATGGAAATCCTACTTTACTGCTATTCATAAAGAAGCAACAGGAATTCTTCGACAACAAATATCTTGTTAATATGACTTTTCTTGATGTTATGACGCCACTATGTTTACTGAGTTATTACCCCAGGCGCTGGGCTTATAAAAAATACAGTTTCTGACACTAGTCAGCATTTACCACTTGAAATCCTTATTAGTTTTGTGTTTACAGTGACCGTGCTGTTTTTCTGGTAGGCAGAGGAGGCGGTAGACGAAAAAAGTGATGGCCTCACATCCTTCTCAACCGCGAGATGATGACAGCCGTTAAATTAGAGTGAACCTGCTTTGAAGTTTTATTTGATTTAATTAGAAGCTCGGGTCAAGTGTTGCAAAGGTTGGATGAGAAGCGAAAAGCAACGTAAAGTGAGAAAGTCCAAGCTTCAATCAATCCCTTGATAACTTTTTAAATCATTAATTGATGTCATAGGTTTTTTTTTTTATTTTGTGATTAAGGAAGCTTTGTTAATCCGATTTTTGCACTGCCCAAGGACTGACGATACGAGCTTAAATTGCTTATAACTCTTGAAACGATAGCAGCACCCCAAAAATGTGAGGACTGTTTTATCTGGGACTTGTATAGAGTAAGGAGGTTGATGATAAAAAATGAGAATTGTTGACAATTCTCCTTATAAAGTTAAAAAATCGCACCAACGACTTGCTTGACATCATCAGGATAGTTTCATCGTACTTCCATGATAAGGATACGCTTTTTTCCATTATCGGTTCATGACGTCATGCGTTCAGGCATCAGGAGATGCAAAAAATAAGATTCGCAAATATTTTCGCACTGTTCTAAGTGTTGTTAAATTGCGTCAGTTTGTTAGATGTATTATTTGCATCAGATTATTGCATCATTATTTTTATATTATTGCCAGAATTAAATTTTAATGTAAACTCGCGGGAATTTCATCATTCTGTAGCGATGAAAATAATATCAAACCGAGTTTATCTGAAAAGCAAGAATCAGATGTATGTGTCGTCATCTTTTTCTTAGAACTCTTTAAAACTAAACTATGGCGTTCATGTTTCAAATTAAAAACTAAAACAATAATAAAAAATAAAAATAATACCGATGTATTTGGTTTTTCATTTTGAAGTTAATAGCAATTACTCAAAAACGTTTGGAGCCTTATATGACAGAAAAAGAACCATTTAACGATGTAAAAAAATACAGGGTGTTCATTTGAAATTTATGATTAAAGGTGCATTTTGCATGTTGAGATATCCTGAAAAAATAGAAAGAAATTTCAGCAATTTTCCTAAATCAGCTTGAAATTTTTGTGACCAAAAATTTATCTAAATATCTTCAAAAGGGGCGGATCTGCGAGCCGCTGAAGTTGGGCATTCTTTCAGACATTTCACTAAATTGAGAATCGAAACCGTATGTTTTATGACAACAAACTTCTTGTATTTAGAAGATCTATCAAAATATGCAATGAAATACAGGGTACTGTATTTAAAAAAATGCATGTTTGCCCTGGCATGAAGTTATGGTACACCCTGTATATTTCAAAATAACTTTAAAACAAGCACCAGTATCATATCAATGTTTACCACGAAAACGGATTTTTGATATCTTTTCCAGCTTGCTCATATAGTTTCTATTTCTGCTAGGTCACCCTGTATGTAAATTAAAATATGGATCATGGATTAGTTATCTTTTAAGAAATATTCAGGACATTTGCGATGAAGGTAAAGGAGACAACATCGCCGATATGAAACGGAAACTGAGTCGGGGTCAAATTTGATCCCTGCGGAATATCTGCGTTGGAATTATTATCGAACAAAGAAAAACATTTACCGATGATGGTAACGTAACAAATCCAATCGTTACATTCACTTATAATATTTTTCACACCGGTTCTCACAGAGACAATCCGACAGCGTGAGACTTAGTAAAATTCTGTTGAATGCAAGCAAAATAAACCAGGTTATCGTAAAAGCGTTACATGTTTGGACTTCTTGATAGAAATGAGTATTTAGGAGGGGCTTTAAGGCTCTATCTTTATTTTTCTTGTGGTCGTTATGTTAAATTTGAGCACATATAAATAGGGTTTTTCATTTTATCATTCCATGATAGCAAATATGCTTACTAGATTTTATCAAAATTCAATAAATAAATCTGAGTGTTGCATTTTATATTTTGACTAAGCATTATCTTAAGTAGTAAGTAAATCCTTAAAATCCAAAATTCAGCTCTCCTACTATAAGCGATAAATAGTCTGAAACTCAGTGCCTTTACTAGAAATATTTGGTATACACCTTCATCGATCTTAATCGTTACCCACGTTGTTACACAATTACGGAAATTTTACACACATTGCAGGAAAAGACGAATAGTACAATGATTCATTATCGATATTATTAATGGATGGCACGCTAAATTTTAACGTTACCATGATTCGTATGGTAATTTGCGAACTTCCCATTTAATTGGAAAATTTCATAACTAATGAATTTTCACTTCGGCAATTTGCCCGTTAACGAGCAAACGCGGACTTTCTATTTTCGTTCAGTTTTTCGTACTGTTGCCATGTAGAACGTTTTCGATGATCGACAAAATCAGCGCAGATGCAACAATACTCTACGACCTTTCCTTATCGAAATTTGTCACACCACATGAAATTTTACAGGCCGAACGGTGATTACATTTGACGTAACTGATATGACGGGCCAAAGATCATGTTTGTTGAAGCCGTTTAAAAAAATGCTTCTCGCTTCCATAGAATAACAAGCAAATCAAAAACATTGATATAATAATGGGACAAACGATCGAATATGGAACAATATTTCGAGAAACATATCGTCTAATCGACGGTTTGTAGGCGATGATAGCGGGGAATTATGTCATTCTCGACATACTTAATGATGCCAAAAGATATTATATACTCAGTGTTATTAAAAGTCTAGTCAGAAAAAATTATTATTATATTTTAACTTGATTTTTTGGCAATGAGGTTAGTCTTACATCCAGAATGAAACGATAAAATTCTCACGAAGCTGCTGGACTGTGGCGGATCGTGCAAAGCGCATAGTCTCCTCCCCATCTTATCCCACACACGTTCGATGGGACTTAAATCCGGTGAACGGTGTGGCCGACAGGATAGACAGCGTAGGAACTTTCATAACATGAGAGCAGTATTTCAGGTTGAGTTTGATTGGAGCTTTGTACGGAGGTCAGAGCGTAATCATTCTGGATGACCCGGTAGATATGTTTTACTTTCGAGACATTACGGCGTACTTTCTTTTTTCCGAGCACAATCGACATGAAGACGAAGCGAACAATAAAAATTATAGGTTGCCTCACGACTCCGATTTTGTACGTACACAATGGTGCCCTCTTTAAGTATGACGGTGAAATTATAGGGCACCGCCTGTCACGTGAGCAGAACAGAACAAAATTACCGTGCCTTTGTCATCTTTCGTACCTTTTTCGGATGTTATGAAGACCTGAACCTCAGCTTCAATATCGGTAACGATTTTTTCACATTATTCTCTAAAGAGGTGGTTACATTTCTTCCTCTGTGTAAATAACGATACCGTTCTGATGATTACTAAAAAGCACGAAACAACTGAACATACTGCATGATACTAACATTGCCTAACCTAACCGAAAATGCATATACGAGGGTTGTTTCGAAAATAAGGTTACCACTTTAAGGCATGTTCTTGGCGAACAGAATTTTATGGTAAAAGTATAATGTAAGTATCTAGAAATGGTGTTTCGTGTTCAGCCTCTGAAAGGGTTTTAACTTATGGTTAACTTTCGCATATTTGGATATACCAAAGATAAAACGTACACAAGTGTTTTGAACTCGTTGTATCTGATTAAAATGTTTTATTGTCTATGGGGTATAAAGGTTTTTAATTATGAGATTTTTAGCGGTGTTTTCAATCTTTAATTTAGAATTTTTGATTTTCATAGATACATTAGCAGCACTAGCATGTAGGTATATTTACAGCAGAAAAGTGTTTCGATCTTGACCAAGCACTACAAACGTGGCAGATGCTAAACGTCAACTTTCTATCGCGAGTCAGTAAAAAAAGGTTCGTAATTCTTTCCCGTTTTGTAAGGCACGACCGTTCGCTGGATCTTTATTCAAATTATGCAAAAACGAGACAAGTCGACGTCTAGCTCGAGGTACGGCGAGCGCATTAACACAGTTTAAAAAGACTAATGAATGCAAATCGATACATGCGGAATAAATGAATAACATTACGGAAGGGACAGTCACACGGCAGACGTTTTTTATGACTACGAGTACATGCATATATATGTACAGGCTACGTTTTCCGAAGAAAGATGACGGTTTATCGACTTGCTTTTGATATTAAGTCGTGATGGTTCAAAAAAATGATGTCAGCTAGATCAAATCTCTCTAAAATACTATACCGGATGCCCACGAAATCGTTTTTCAGTTGCTGTTTAAAGAAGAACCTTGAAATTTTGTGTGTGAATATGACTCATAAAGACCCAGTTTATCCATCAAAAAACAACTGAAAATCGCTTCCGGTTTGACCGGAAGTGAGTTTGAAACAAGAGTTTTAAACAGGACCCTGTATATATTTTTACATATTTGCATAGAGCGTAAAATTTCCTTTTCAACGATGTGTCACACGTTGTCATTCTTTTTCAAAATGGCGGCATAAATGGCATTTATGCCAAATTCAATATGGCGGCGTTTCGACAGTATCAATGGATTTTTTTAGCCAAACTACCCGCTAATTTGAGAGGCAAAATGGATTCTGCGTATCAGAACGCATATATATATATATAGGTGAACAATTAAAGCTTCCGCCTTTTGTTGGGTACTTCGACAAAATTTAAGCAAAGAGGACTCTTTATACTTTTTTAATTCTCTCTAGCTTTCAATGGACTTTGCCATCATCATCAGGAGCTGCAATTACAATGATAACAGTAGCAACAAAAGTGTATCATTGTAATTGCAGCTCCTGATGATGATGGCAAAGTCCATTGAAAGCTAGAGAGAATTAAAAAAGTATAAAGAGTCCTCTTTGCTTAAATTTTGTCGAAGTACCCAACAAAAGGCGGAAGCTTTAATTTCACCTAACTGGTCAGACGACAATGACCACGTCTCAAAATATATATATACAGCCTTAGTTTCCTATTTAATTTCAGGCGCATCACTCTTACGGTGAAACAAACTTAGCTACTGAGTAGTAGCATTTTTCTATTAAC